TCAGCAGGAGGCAGAAGGTGGGATTGAATGTGGAACAGAGATACTTTGTCATTTGCTTTTATTTAGTAAACCAGTTATGTTAGGTCAGTCTAAACTGTTATTTTCTGCAGGTGACATTCTCACTGCCCTAACTAATGTCTCTGGACGTAAACACCCATCAACAGTTCAGGCAAAACAGCTGAAGATGTGCCTTCCCATGATGCCTGTAGTGCTTCATCTTGTGACATCTCAGGTAGATTTTTCTTTCCAGAAATTGTTAAACAAACAATCTATATTGTTGCAATTTCCCAAAATGCAGTTTCTGCTGATTAGGATCAGAATGGGCCAAGTACATCTTTTCTTAATGTAGAATTACGTCAATGAGTATTCCAGCTAAGTAATAGCATTAAAGATGTAAACTTATTTTTGCATTTTGTAAGGCAGCTCTGATAGAAGCAGGTATATATTTTGTCCTTCTTTTTAAGCATAGATGTGAAATACGTGTTTGACTTTTTCTGATCATAAGATATACACTTAGTGTGTTTTTTAAAAAACTTTTCTTAAATTCAAATAGGTATTTCGTACCCAGATAGTAACGGAGGAGTTTCTTTTCAACTATGGGACCTTACTTGTGAGTAAAACCTTTTGTTAAGTTAAATTTTATTTAGAAAAAATACATATACATACAATTTTGGGAATTATTTTAATGTAATTAAATTTATAAATCAGAGAAATTGAATTTTATTCTGAATATAACTTTTAAACTTCTATTAAGAATATGTATGTTATCAAAAAGTGTTTTCTGTAGTAATATATTGGGTCAAAGGGAAAATACGCTATCCTGTGTTCAAGTATAGAGAAACTTTGCACAAGTCTGATGAATTGGGAATTTCCTTTGTGCTTTATTTTACAGTAGGAAAGCTTAACTCTGAATTATGCACACTATTCTTTCTAGATTTCTAAGATGAAGTCATGAGTAGAAATTAAAGATTAAATTATAAACTAATGTATGTTTACAGTGTTCTTTTCTTTGTTATCTTTTCTTCTTGCCAGTGCTTTTACACTCTGTTTAGTTAATGGAAAGTTGAATATTATAAGCTACAGAGCTACGAGATTTGTCTCATGTAACATCCACAACCTATTTATGGCATTAACAATAGAAACCAAATTGAGATTTTAAGTGTGCCATAGAACAGTATAGTTAAAATGAAGCACTACTGTTGTAGTGTAATTTCCTTCTACAAAAACAGTTCTTTTTGCCAAATGAGACGAAGCGTATTATAAAAGTTACATGTCAGGGTCAAGGAAATCCTTTTAAGTACACGTGATCATAAATGGCCGCTAGGTATTTACTCCATAGTAGCATGCAGAGATGCTTCACCACAAACACCTAGGTTACAGTTTACTGTTCAGATTCACTTCTCTTTCTGCTTCTCCTTCTCTTTTGATTCCAAGAAAATGTGGATTTAAATTAACTCTATTGGCCTGTGATTGAGAAGAAAGTGTCCACAAACTATTTTTAGAGAAAAATAGCCTTACAATTAAGAAAAAATAATAAAAAAATGAATTGCGAACTCTTTTTTCTTTTCAAAACATTGTAAATAGGCATTAGATATATTAATGGTTTTGGATCAACCTTCCAGAAGATGAAAATATTCTGTCAGCAATGTAGGTACAGCACAGCACCCACAGTATCGGTTTCCTTTCGATGCTCCTTCAACTTGCTTGAGCTACTGACTGAAGAAGTCAGCTTCCAGTTAGTTCATATTCCAGTCCCTTTTGCTCCAATAATAGCTGTAGCAGATTTACCAGTACATGTTAATTTTAGCTTTTGTGATATTGTGGTTTTGTACTTCTTCAGAAATGGGTTAGCATCCCCTTTGGAATCCTGTCTCCCCACAAAATAGTTGTGACTTTTAGGCTACAAAAGTAACACATAGTAACAATATATATTTATTACAGAAGATAGGTTTGAAAAAAGGTGTGATTTGTATCTGTTATTATAGCTGATGAGTAGCAAAGCCCTTTAGAAAGCTCCTGTTGAATGTTTCCTGCATCTTGTCCTTTTAATAGCCATAGAACAAGGCAATTCAGACTTGCATAATCTACTTCAATTTATGCATAAAAAAAAGGGGAAATAGTATCTGAACAGTGAATATCAAATTGCAGTTCATTTTATATAACTGTGTGTTGTAATGTGACTAATGTAATTCCCTCTGGAAGAGCAACTATCCATTCTATCAGAGAACAGTCTACTCTGGAACTGTTTGTTTAGCAGCATTCCCACTGACATCTACAAAAGAACGTTTAATCATCAGCTCATACTTTTTCGAAGTACTATGATATAATCGAGGCCTCTCAAGACTTTGTCAAGTCAGTCTTTCAGGGTTTTTCCTGATTGATTCCAAAGACTTAATCTTAAGAATGAGAAATGGTTAGGATTGGAAAGATGTGTGCTTGATATCTAGAAGGAAAAAGGTAATTATTTTCCTGTAACTGTTGTTCTTTGAGAAATAACTTATTTTTTTCTTGCTACTTTAAAATTGTTTCCAACATCATTATAATCCTCAGTACTCTAGTGCAAAGAAATTGAGATGGAGCTGGGACAGTCCTTCCCTTTTACATTTTCAGCTGTGAATAGAAAGACAAGGAGGACACATGCTCTGCCGCAGAGGCACAGCTAACAGTAGTAACTAGTTGAGTGCGTAGCAGACAAACCCACCCACAGTGGAATATGCACATCATTCCCCTCCATCGCTTAAGGAACAACAGATATATGTATAGATTGGTCTTTACACTATGATTAGATGTAAAACTGTCTTAAACGAGCAAACAAAATAATTTACTCTCCTCCAACACAAATTAATTAGATTAAAACTGC